CAAGCCACTCGGAGCAGTTCCGCCTTTTGGTGCAATACCACCATCGTGACGAGACTGCACCTTAATGTAGTGCGACGGTTTGTGTGCCTTAGTGATCCATTGAGCTATGCTGGGTGGTGCTTTTTGCATCTTCAGAGCCACTTATACGAGATTGGTCAATGGTTAGAGGCCAGACAAACAGTCTGCTGCCCCTCCCCAAGTTGGAGTTTGGAATGAGGGTGGCCTCTTACTCCATACAACGGACTCACTCTACCCCAGTACTAAAACCCCGCTGCCTTGCGGTATTTTAAACCAAAGGCTTTGGATGAGAACCCGAATCGTTCTCCTAGCTAGGCCTGAGCAAGTTGACAGTATCCTGCCCACGCAATACATCACCGTGACGTTTCCTTCTAACAATTTATTGGTGCTCTGGGTTGGGTAGGGCCTTGGATGCTACTGCCCAGGCCTTCCCGTCTTCTTATTTCCCCTCTTGCGCATTTTCATCCTTATCGTCCCACTCCAACCACTTTTATCCTCCCAGTTTTCAGTCCCCCAATTCTCGGCCCTCCCTCACCTTGTTTCAATAGTCGCTTGTCTTTTAGTTTCAACTCGCACAGAACCGCAGAGCGCCGCCCCAATCCAGTCGACGAGTCCATGTTTAACTAAGCGGACAACATCAGTACATCCGTTTCCCTTTGGAGTCCTCTGATCTCGCTAAGACTGGCATGCCTCAACGTGCGCTCTTTGCTACAGTTTGCCCAACAAGCAGTACTTGCCCGCACAATAGAGACCCTATCGATCGATATTTGCTATTTATCGGAAACCCGCCTACAAGAATCGAGCTCCGTGCTTACCCTGTGATCCCCCATCATGCGACACTGACGACATTCTCATTGCGTCTGTCTGGCGATGATGCAGCTTCAAATGCCGGTCAAGCTAGCGTCGACATTGTTTTGAGTCCCCTAGCTGAAGCTGTCCTGATCGATTGGATTCCAGTCAACAGTGAGATGTGCGCCGTTAGACTAGCTGGTTCATTCCATGCTATGAAGTCGCGCGGGGACAAACGGTGCCTGTTTGTCATTGTGGCCTATGCTCCTGCAAACTGTAGCACTGATTCGGTGAAAGATGGTTCCTATCAGCAACTTCACGATCTCCTTCATTACAGAAGAAGCACGGATACTGTGATATTGGTTGGCGATCTAAACGCCCAAGTCGAAATATTGTTCTCTGATGAGCTTCATCTGGGCAGCCAACATGGTGTAGGCTCCCGTAATGATAACGGTGAGCGATCGCTACAGGTGTGTGAAGATGCTCGTCTCTTTCTCGCATGCACAAACTTTCGACACTGCACCTGCAGAAGCATGAGTTGGCGCCCACCAACTTCGAACCAGCCACGGACGCAAATCGATCAAATCGCGATCAGTTACTGCTGGAGAGGCTGTGTCCAAAACTGTTGCTCGATTTGGAGCACGAGCATGGACTGTGACCATGCACTTGTCTGTGCCGACCTCCGGGTGCGTTTTGGTGGGCGTCCGCAACGTCGACGTGAACGGATTGACACCATCCAGCTGGCGAAGCCAGATGTTCTGAATGTGTATCAAAGTGCGCCGACGTCCGGGCTGAATAAGCGCCCACTGAACACCGTTGAAGATTATTGGTCACATATCCGCCATTTGCTATTATCAGCAAGTGTCTTCATGTGGCAAATTAAATTTCCAACTTGGACATTGGGTCTCTACAAAGTCTCTGAAACTTGTGGATGCTCGCCGATTTATTTCAGCTGGTAGCGAATACACTGAGGCTCGCAAAAGTAGGGCAAAACTGCGTGCTAGCCTGAAGAAATACCGCGAAGCCTGGTGGTCACATCTTGCTTCGGAGATGGAAACAACCGCTACCGTTGGTAATCGTAAGTTATTCTGCCTGATACAGGAAACAGGCTGCAGGAGACCTGGTGTTAGCGAGACCATACGCGACGAGAGTGGGCAGCCGATCCACAGCCTGTCCACACACTTGGAGCGTTGGGTTGAACACTATGCAAGGCAATTTAACCAACTTGAGTTACCGGTTTCTTTTTCGGGCATTGAGCGCCCTTCTCCATGGGCCGTCTCCTTGGATTCGCTCTCACTCGCAGAAGTCGAACGTGAGATCAGGTTTTTGAAATTACATAAGGCTGCAGGAGCAGATAGAATTCCCCCAGCCCTCTTCAGATTCGGGGGACCTGCTCCAATAGATGATTTACACGGGTTGTTAGTGAAACTTTGGGAGCAGGAGACTGTCCCGACAGACTGGAACCGCTCCGTCATTGTCCCAATTTTCAAGGGAAACTCCCGTTTGGAATGCGGCAATCATAGAGGGATCAGTCTGATTTCGATTGCCTCTAAAATGCTTGCCTCTATCATTCTCCAGACTGACTGGCACTCGTGAAAGCCAGATTCGTGAAGAACAGGCCGGATTTCGTCGAGGTCGGGGCTGCATCGACCACATCTTCACATTGCATCAAGTATTGGAGCACCGCCATGTTTATTAGCGACCCACCGTTGTCGTGTTTCTTGACATAAAAGGTGCCTCCGACTCAGTCGATCGATGTGAACTTTGGGACTGTCTGCTGAGGAAAGGTGTGCCTGATAAATATGTAAACATTATCAAAGCGCTGTACGCACATAGTTCGGGCAGGGTGAGGGTTTATGGCAAACTCTCGCCACCCTTCAGTATCACCAGCGGTGTGAGACAAGGATGCCCGCTGTCACCTTTCCTCTTTAACTTCGCTATTGATGAAGTCATGGAAACAGCGTTCGCTGGACACGACGTAGAAGGTGTGGAGCTACTTCCTGGTGAGCGACTTTTTGACTTGGAGTATGCGGACGGTATTGCCCTTATCTGTGACAGCTCACAAATGTGCGAGGCAGTACTGAACAGATTAGCACTGGTTGTCAATCGTTTTGGGCTATTCTTTGCTCCATTAAAATGCAAAGTATTTCTCCAAGATTGTCAGGGACCCACCCCTGCGCTAACGCTTGGTGGTGATCAGCTAGAAGTCGTTCAGAAATTCAAGTACCTAAGTAGCTATATTAGCGCCCGTGGGATCGAAGATGAGGTTACAAACCGTATAGCAAAGACTCGAGGTGCTTTTGCCAAGCTCCGTCACTTGTGTCGCCGACGCGACGTCACTCGCTCTGAAAAGCAGAGTTTGTAATGTAGTCGTCCGTTCAATCCTTATACGTTTGTGAAACCTGACCCCTCAGGTCGACAGACATAAGGAGGCTAGTCACATTCGATCATCGCTGTCTTCGCAGCTTAGCTCATGTCTGGTGGGAGCACCGCGTGAGCAATGAGCGTGTTCGGTGTCGCGTATTTCATGCAGGAAGAGCGAGTAAACCGGTTAGCCCCATTATATCACACACCAGGCTCCGATGGCTGGGTCACGTGTTTCGCAAGCCAGCCCACCGACTCCCGCGAGTTGCGTTGTTTTCGCGCCGGGGGTGCGGTTGGAAGAGGAGGAGGGGAGGCCAAGCGATGACTTGGTCGAAAGAAAAGGAAAACCCTCACTTCGATGTTGGCATCGGTTGGTGCATCCCGACTGCCTGGCCGGAGATCTAAGGACGATGAACACGTTTGGTTGGACACACTTTTTGATATGGAGAAGAGCCGGTCTCAATGGCGTTTGTGTTGAGTTTTTTTGCCCACCACCTTTAGATTCCCCCTTTATTTACCATCTCATACGGAATGCATAATATAATCTTTAACGTTATATTACTTGCTTTTTGAATTCTTTGTAGAGTGCTTTGTTAGTATCTTATCTTTTTGTATTGCAGCACATTAGCTAAGATGTGTTTCTCACGGTCAGGTAACATGTATTGACGATGATGATGATGACCAGTCAGTTACCTGCCGTTTAGGTCTGAAGACACTAGCTTGAAGCACATCTGTTGTTGGACCACAGGGTGAGATGGATTCGTCTTTTGGATCCGGGGAATTGCGAAAATTGCCACTTCGGCGTGTGGTTACAGTCCTAGGATCTGGAGTTTGTGTGTAAATGTCTTTGAGATTGCTGGTCAGTCTCATGACTGACACCTAACAGAGATCTTACTTTTGCATTTAAGTCTCGCAAGTGCAGGTGTTTTCCTTAAGCACCTCTCTTGATAGGTCATAAAGCCTCTATCAACAGCTAACAGTTCAACAGAAGTTTTGCCTCAGATTTACCCACCTCCTTGTGGGGTCCGTTCTCAGCAAACTTTACACTCGTCACTGTTAGGTTTTGAAGTGCCGGTCTAACATTTGGACAAGAGGTCTCCTTAGAAATCATGATCTACCCCAAGGTTAACTTCAGTCAGTCTAATCACTGGGACTGGTTGTTTCCATGACTTTGGCGCCGCTTATCCTTCACAGGTTAGTTTGAGGATAAGAATACCCGGTCCTGTTCGCTAGAGATGTGCGGAATAAATCGCGCCACTTTTCTTTTCTTGTACCACATAATCTCCGGCAGTCATATGAAAACCCGTTGATTCTGTCGATTAATCCACTTGATTGATGTCTACGTTGAGCCGGACCTCATGACAAGACCTACGCCAATCACGAAACATTTTGATGCGTTGTCTTTGAAAACTACATTGGTTGTTGGGATGAGTCTAGTGCGAGGTTTACATAATCGATGGACGTTGGAATCGTTAAGTTTAGCGTTACGTTAACCCTGCTTATTTAAATCCACCGTTTTAAAATCTCATATATCCCCATTGAAGCAGTAACGCGAGTAGCCTCGCAATTTCTGCCTTGTGGTTGTTGCTACTTTTCATTTTTGTTTGTCACCTTGGATGCTTTTTTACTGTAGGGTAGACTCTTTCTCGTGAGTACTCCCCGTCTACGTCTCGGAATTTACCATGGCATGCATGATAATAATGTGTTAATTGTTCTTTATCCAGCTTTGGCTAATCGATCAGAAAGTAAACCTGTACTCCACCACGCTTCCGAAGTCCCCTCGTTCACCAGAAACCCGTGATGACGTCAATCTGAAACCGAAAGACCCAGATACTGCTGAGCCATCGGAACCGCGGTTTGCGACTCTGAGGCTAGAGCCTCTCGAATGCCGCCGCGTATTCTACCGAATAGTCTTGACATCGGATTACGATTCTCACCGGTGAGTGATGTGTTTGGTTCTGAGTGCGCATTTCACTCTGACGCTCGTCACATCATTTTTGATATAATTTGTCTAGTTACGGTTGTTGGCATGCCACCCTCACGTTAATTGGCGTCTTGCATGCAGAAGTGCAGCTTTAGAGCCCCTGATTGGTTTGTTGCTATTGCGTCGCGTGAATTACCGCTACTCTTCTCTTGTGCATCGTTAACCCATGTTAAGTAGACCATCAGATGTAGCTCGATGCGAACTGCGCTTGTTTTATCCAGTTCATTAAGGGGCATCACTTTCAAAACGGTGAATGAAATGTGCAGTTGGCATATCCGTGTAACCAGCCTCATCTAAGATTCGACCCACTAGTTTCATGCCAAAGCACTTCCCACTGTGTGACGCCGACGACAAAGTTGGCTTGGGCAGAGCGAACTACAGTTGGTCTGCTCTATATTACTCGTACACCCGCCTGCGCGCTCAGTATTCGGTGGAGACCCTCTTGAACCACGGCAGATAGGTCCGTTGATAAAGATCTACTGCTTTTTTGCAGTTTGTAGTGCATTAAGTTCATTCGGATTCTCGCAATCTAACGGAGTAAATTATACAAGCGCTGGTCCTACTCATTGTCTCAATTCCAGGCGTTTATAATACCTCGGCGCTTCGCTGCGGTGGGCACACTATGAAATTTGCGACTCCAGCATCAAGACTCGTGTAAATTTTATACTTAGGAGATAAGTCTCACATCGAGCGCTCGTTGCTATGTTAGTGGCTACAAGCAAATCCCAACGCAGTGCTTGCAACTTTTCATCGACTGTGAAACTTTGATCTCCTCCACTTCAGTAATATACCTGGGAGTAACACTAAGCAGTGGACTTACGTAGTCCCTTCACGTGAACGAAACATCCAATAAACTTAGGAGACTCTAATTCAATGTTGTACGTCTCATATCTTCTTCTGTACCCCAATTTTTGATCCAGCGTTTTTTATCACTGCGTGTGTTACCTTACTGGACCTCTCGCTGTCTTGTGATCTTTCTTGGTCTCCTGAGTAAGGACCTCAAATTAATTGTCAGATCAGTGAAGCGTCTATCCCGGTGTAGTGGAATATCAATGTCGGAACTTGTTAGCATCATTGTATCCAACCATGTCAACTCCTGTAACAAGGTTGCAGCTAAAATACTCACTGATGTTAGCCACCCTTTACACAGAGCGTTGTCCGAAAGCGGAACAACCACGTCAACCAGACAGAGCTGCAAAACTATATACGCACGGACAAGGGCATATGGTACATCAGTAGTCCTTACTTGTTACATTTTTGGCCGATAAGAATTCAATCATTCGACAGCAGGCTAGTAAATTACTCTAATGATATTAGCCCTGTCGACTTTTTCTCAACGATTGTGGTTTTATATCTATCCTCGTGTACTATTTGTCTTCATTATTTCTCCCTGTCAGTGGCTTGTGTGTTCAAACTGAATATTCATCTTTCATGTGTGCACAAAGCACATTCTTGACTTGACTAAGGCGTCTCGGTGTATCTACTGTTTGAGGCGTCGTCACGTTCACACGAAGGAAGTCCGAGCGACATGTCGGGATGCAAACCCGTAGATTAGTACTTGTTTGCCAGTTTGGATTTTTGGCTTCCAAAAGCTTATGGAAAACGATGATGGTTCAGCACGTAGTTTCTTTAGATCGAGTCGTTCTTATCAGGTTTCCTTATGATTTTGACACGGGTTCCTAATGAACGATTCTTAAGGACATTTCAAGTTTCTCATACTGGAAAATGTTTTCATATACCTACTTGATTAAGCCGTCTGCAAGTGTGCCTATGCACCGGCTAGCGGGATAGTCTCTTTTTCTCGAGTAATGATCCGCATTTTTTCACTGAATTCTACTTCCTACCAAACATTCACAATTCCACTGTGAATTCACACCCTCCCACTTGAATTTGACGACACTATCCAGCTTTTGAGGCGCCAACCTCAAGCACCTCGAAACCCGTGGATTTTGTAGCGCATTCACCATGGAACCAACTCTACATCCACACTGCTTATTTAGACGATTATTGTATGAATAACTACGTCAGCTCAAGAGTCCATGTGAACAGGCCACACTCAGAACTCACTGTTCTCAGCCTGTCGCTTTAAACGAGTCATTGCATGCAACAGCTGCGAATGCGAAATAAAAACACTGTTCAAATATTCCTAGGTTTCACCGCGGCCAGTCCTGACGCATTTCTTTGCTACTTTTTAAAGCTTGCGCGTCTCATATCAACCATCATCTTGAAAGGCAACCTCTCTCAACGGGCCATACAAATAAGCCTCACGATTAACTCCATCCAAACCGGTTGTATGGCTCTCCTACTTGTGGAATTGTGTGCGTTCTGTTAACGGTGCGTCCAGCCCAGTTATTTGATGCATCTGGCGCTTGTACTTCCCGTTGCTTCTTAGTTTCCAACTCTATTTTACCATGGAACGTATTCGACTTCCTAGTTTTCAGAAAGAAATGCCTTCGTCACTTTGTTTATCTTCTGCATCCGTCTGCTCCCAGGAATATAGCAACAGGTCTACTCAAATCATGGCGACACGACTTTGGTGTCACGTTGTTCTCTTTGCCTTGGGAAACTTGTGTTGGTTTGGCCGCTTGTTTGCAACAATCCTCCACACGAATAGCCCCTCAATTCCGAAAGCCAGGTCAAACTATGGCAGGATTCACGGTTAGTTTCTTGTATGGTTTTTCAGTTCCGTCCTCTCTGTGTGAGGTCAAATTTCACGTTACG